AGCGGGATGCTAATGTGAAGAAGCATCGGAAAGAAACAAGAACGGGTTGTTTGGCGCATATGGTGGTAAGCTGTCAACCTAATGGTAAATATTGGGTTACACATTTTGGAGCAGAGCACAATCATGAGGATGTAAACCTAAGTGAAGCTCAAAAATTGCTGGAATTACCATTACCCGGAAAAGTGGAGTCTACTGAAGTTTCTGAAACTGGATCAAAGAAGAATTCTGAGATACAATCAAAATTATATTTTCAACTATTGGGCATACAATTTTGCACCCCAGAGAATCATGAATGCCTTCAAATAGGTGATGAAATTTATCTCAAGTCTGGACGGACAACAGATTTGAAGGAGGGAGTGGCACGGTGTCTTTTGTATTATTTCCAGAGACAACATTTTGAAAACCCTTCATTCTTTTATTCAGTACAACTTGATATCGAGAATAAGATAAGCAACATATTTTGGGCTGACGACAATATGATTCTAGAATATGGTCATTTTGGCGATGTGGTTTGTCTGGATACATCAGCCACAAGAAATGTAGATTCTCATCCATTTGTGCAGTTCACTGGACTGAATCATCATAGACAGGTATTGATATTTGGTGCTGCCTTCTTATTCAATGAAACTGTCGATTCATTCAAGTGGCTGTTTCGAACTTTTGTTGAGGCAATGTCTGTTTGAAAACCAAGATTCATTCTCACAGATCAAGATGCTACAATTGTCCAAGCTATTCATTCAGTTTTACAAGAAACAAGCCACTGTATATGTGCATGGCAGATGTATTGAATTGCACTTAAACATCTTCGTCACGAGATAATGGAATATGATTCTTTTGTCACAGATTTTAGGAGTTGCATATTTTGTCGTGAGCAGGAAGAAGATTTCATCAATGCCTGGGATTGCATGTTGGAGAAACATGGACTGCGTCAAAACGCGTGGTTGAGATGGATGTTCAGGGAGAAAGAAAAATGGGCTATAGCATATGGTAGAAATACCTTCTTCGTCGAAAAAAATGGCACACATCTAGTTGAGCAGATGTCTGATAACTTGAGAAACTACTTGGGCTCTGACGTTGATGTGCTTCAGTTTTTCAAGCATTTTGACAGCATGGTAAATGAACAAAGGTACAAAGAACTGGAATCGACATTTGACATGGCAAGAAATACTCCAATATTGATGGCTAATGCTGTCTTGTTAAAGCATCCAAGTGATGTTTATACACCCAAGGCATTTGCTATTTTTCAACGAGAATATGAGAAGTGTTTAAACGTCGTTGTTAACAAGTGCACTAACTGTGATTCAAGATTTGAGTATAAAGTAATAACATATGGGAAGTCTAAAGAATTCTCAGTTGTATATAGTTCTCTTGATCATACAGTTACTTGCAATTGTATGAAGTTTGAACATGTTGATTTTCTTTGTAGCCATGCCCTCAAAGTGCTTGATAATAAAAATATAAAGGTGGTCCCATTCCATTACATCTTGAAGAGATGGACAAAAGATGCAAGAATTGAAAGCATCATAGAAAAATATGGTTTTCCTGAGGTAGACAACAAAAAGTTAATCGCTACTTGTTTCAAGGATATGTGTCGCAATGTTCTTAAAATATCGGCCAGAGCTGCTGCAAGACAGCTCAATGAAGTAATGCAAGGTGTTGAAAGAATCTTGAATTTTAAACCCTACAAGGAAGCTAAAGATACAACTACAAGTGGTGCAGGTGCTTGTGTTTCTGAAGATGAAATGGCCGACATTGGTCTTGATAAAATTGAATTTGAGGTTCAGGATGTTGGCTTCTTCAGTGGGGTAGCTGAATCTGAAAGTATCGTCCCAGATATAGATCAATTGAATCATTGTGATGAAGCAATTCCCAGTAGAAGTGGGGGTCTAAGCATGCATCCATCTCCACCAGAGACTGTTTTATCAGTTGCATGTGCTCCTTCAACATACATTTCGTGCCCAAGTCCGAACCCGACAATGAGTCCTCTTATGCAGGTTAGACTTGTCATTTTACCATCTTCGAGAACTGGATACTGCTATATTGAGAATATGACCTTGTATTCTATTTATTTTTAGGGCTTATATCCTGTTGAAGCAAATCATATAGTACATAACATGTATCAAACGCCAAATTTGACAATCAACCAGCAACCTAATTCTAATATGTATGAGCAGCAAAACTTTTACTCTAGTCTGCAGCATTCACCCAACCAAGTTCATTTTCTACAAGTTAGTTCTCCACCCTCAATGATCGTAAGAAACAATCACAGTAAAGCATTTTGGAATGCTTAAATTGATTATTTTTTATGCATATATATCATTGTATAGGATTCTTTGATTCGTAATCAATTCCAAGAGTCTATGTCCAACGGCACCCAGTTGAGGCAGGTAATGTGCAATTTCTATTTTCTAGGACCATAAATCTGCTGATACATTAATTTCCGGAAGGAAAAATTAAAATCTTCTCCCTTTTATCGTGGACTTGCAGGTTATGGATCATGACAACCAAAACCCACATTCATCTTCTTTCATGCATTACAATCTCAGATACAGAGCTACCGGTGTTTAGTATATAAAGAGAGAGAAGTGGCTTTCTTGCCCAACAATTTTTTATAATGAATGTATAGCATGTACAGAGTTTCTATTGCTTCTGTGTTTGATATTTTAAAATAGTCCTTGACAAGAGTGAATGAAGTCCACCTTTCCCTTCATGAGGTGCATTGGCACAAACGTCAATAGTAAACATACAAGGAAAATCAATAGCATAAAGAAAGGTATTGCTGTCTCTCTTTGCCTTTAATTTCCTTTCCTTTTTTTTTTTTTTGGTATTCTTCCCTTTTTTATTTATTTATTTATTTTTTTTAGTGTAGTTCATGATTTTGCAATTTGAATGTGTTTTCACTAATCTGAGCTCGAAAAAGCATCTGCTGTGATTTCCATTATTATGCAGAGTACTGCATTTATTTTTCTCTTAATGGCTCTGGTTTCTGTACGTTCTTGAAATTACAGGGCCACAAAATCTGCAATGATGACCAATATGTAAAGAGAATCAATGTTAGCAAATCTGTCTGAAGGCATTTTCCTCCGATCCAGAATACAACACACAATTGAGCTGAAGTTGTTACGGAAACTAGGTTAGCAGGCTCGGCTTGTCGTATTATGGCTTCTGCATCCATTACCGATTTCTTATACTAGAGATGTTGTCTTCACTCATGCATATGTTGTGGTGCTCAAAAGCTGTCAATGGATCCCTCAAAACTGGTGAATTTGTCTTCCTAACCTTTTGAAATGTAAAAGGTTACATGTATGAAAATACTAGGTAGTTGTTGCATATGTGTTTTGAGGGTGTTACAGGGACACATTGGAGGAGACATCCGATCCCTCAAGTTCCTTTAGAATTATGGTTGGCAATTTATAATGAACGAGCTTGTCTAAAAGTTTAAATTATTAGAAAATAACCAAATTATTTGGTGAACTGCCTTCAACCCTTTCCATGATACATGCATAGGTAGATGGCGGTGACACTCGAATCATAACATTTCTTTACTTTGATACTGCAATGAATCACCTCATCTAAAAACTTAATTTATTATGAAGATGACAAATATTACTTATTTAAATTTGGTCTTTAACTGCAGGGAGATGCATGGATTCTGAAAAGCAAGGTTTAAAATTGTTTTGCATGTGTTAGATGGTGAGTCTGTGATCCCTCTATGCCTGTACCTATATGGTATTTCATTTCTTCGTCCCGGAGTTTTTTCGACCACCTAACCCGAGTAAAAATAGAAACAAAAATTGTCCACTTTATTGAACAGTTCGTTTGTTTAGTAGTCGTTATAAAATGTCCTCGGGTTTCTAGACCACCTAACCCTTGGCCTTGAATAAGTATGTAAATGGCTGAAATTGCACTTGATTTGGCGGACATGGTGCGTGTGTGTGCAGTGTGTAGCATTTTGGCTTGTGGTTCCTATTGGCTTTGAAGGTGTAAACACGATCCCCTGGAAGAGATTCATGTCTAATAATGAATATGAAGTGAGCTAGGGCCCAGGCACTTGGTGGGGGGTGGGGTGGGGGAGTTAGATATAAATTTGGAAATATTTATGTCAAAAATAAAGTTATTTGTGAATGCTTCAAATTTACATTAGGTAAAAATTTATACACGGAAAGATTATAAAGAATTTCTTTTGAAGACAAAATGAAAAATGATTTCTTTTAATCTTATAGCCAAAATAGCTTTGTCTTATATATTAATTTTATCCTTATTAAAATAATTCTCAAGTTGAAATCATTTCTCTATTCGACCTTAAACTTCGGTTGAAAGTTTCATTTCCTTTTTTTCCTCTTTCTTTTACATTATCATCAATGTCTTATAATATGTACGTGTATTGATTTATTTGGAAAAGGTAAAGAATTGAATTAGACCAAACATAAGGTGAGAAATAATATATACATATATACAAATAAAATTTTAGTCGAATCAATGAAGTTATTTTAGTAGTATGTTTCATTTGTTAATTTTTTGTCGAACTGGTTAATAATTTTAAGTTTTTATAACGATGAAAAAATTTCATCTTCAAATTTAAAAAGTCGTTTATACAATGATGGCAATAGGACTAACTATCTTTAGTAACACGATTTTATATTACAAAAGTTGTTCTATAAAGTAGGAAACGATAGAAAATATATTTTTACATCATAATTGTTGCATTGAGGTCCGCTAAATCATCACAAACTAGAGAAATAGTACAAAATAGATTTCTCAATACAAATTGGACCAATTTCTTACCTGTCAATTGTCGTCTCCTGGGGTCCTCAACTTCCACTCCCCACCACCACAACGGCGGCGCGTTCCTGCCAAACACCACCTTCTCACGAGTCTTTTCTTTTTAAACACACAGACTCCCTCTATAGTAAACACTCTGACACTCTCTTACTCCATATCTATCTGTCTATCTAAAAATGCTTTCTTCAAGAAAATGTACAAACTTGCTATAATCAGACATGGGTAGGGCCAACAAATGGTTCCATTCTCTTCTGGGTTCCAAAAAGCCTCCGTCGGCATCTTCATCGTCGCCGGCACCGGAGAAGAAGAAGAGTAAGTGGGGACTGTTAAAGTCATCAACTAGCATTGTGTTCAAAAATGAAGAAGAAAACCAATTGACAAGTCCTTATGCTGAGACGTTGGACGCAAACAAGCATGCAATAGTAGTGGCAGCGGCCACGGCGGCGGTTGCCCAGGCTGCTCTCGCGGCCGCCAAGGCGGCGGCCGAGGCAGTCAAACTGACAGGCGGGAGTAAGAGTAGAAGTGCTGCGATGTTTGTTCGCCACTGGGAATGGGCAGCTATAAAGATTCAATCGGCTTTTCGAGCTTACTTGGTCAGTACTATAGTTATTATTTAAAACTTCATTTTTCATAATTCTTCCACAAATTCCTCATATATCAGTTTACTTGATCTGGCAAACTTTGATGTATGTCTTTGTTTCTGTCAATGTTGCTTATATCAAAGCTGCCTTATCTAAAATTCCACTCAATCTAAAAGTTTAAATTGATAGAGTGAAAATCATTTATTTATTTAACATATCCCCAGTGCAGGCAGTGCAGGCTTGAGTTAAGTTTTCTTTTTTACTTTTTTTGACAGGTATGCACAGTTTTTATAAGTGATAGAACCTATTATGTTAGAATAATCCTGTTAGAGCAATTGGATGTCATCGAATAATAAATTCACTAAAATGCAATGTACCGTAATTCATTTAATTAAACGGTCACTTGCTAAATAGCATTGTTCATTATGTCATGACCATGGATCATCTCATCTAAAAAAAGTTTCTTGGACTGTGAGGGTGGGACTGCAATGCACCGGGGCGGGGATTCTGGGCCTCTGAGGCTGGTGGCTCCATGGCTGTGACAATCCACAATCATGAGGAATTGATTCCTCCTTATCTCTTTCTTTCTTTCTTTCTTTTTTTTTTTTTTGATGTAACTTGTCCTCTCATCGGGGCATCAAATCAATTTATCCCAAGAAAATTGAAGTTTTTCTTGATATGCATTTCATGTGTATTTTTTATTTTCTTTCTTTTCACATTTGTTTTTTTTTTTTTTTTTTGATGTAACTTGTCCTCTCATCGGGGCATCAAATCAATTTATCCCAAGAAAATTGAAGTTTTTCTTGATATGCATTTCATGTGTATTTTTTATTTTCTTTCTTTTCACATTTGATACCTTGCTTTTTCATCAGAAAAGGTACTCTGATGACGCCTTTTGATGGTAAAGGTAATTAAGATCCTTTATTCAGACACAAATTAAGACCTTCTTGAATTAGATAAGGTTTAAAACTTAAAAGCTTGACATGTACACAATGTTCTTTGGGAGGCGAAAAGACTTGAAACACCTCATCTAAAAGTTTGGAGAAATACATTTATTTATTTAAATTTAGTCTTTTGACATCAATTACAGCTTGCCCTCCGGGTTCCTTGTATAGCACCAAGTTTGTATATGTAGACAAATCTACTAAACACGACACTTAAATCTCCACCTTTTCCTTTTAAGTGACAATTCCTCTATTTTGCCTTCTGTTTTTTGACTCCTGGTGGTGGGGCTAGGTTAGTGACTGTCTCTTTTCTACTACCAGTAATGTGATCTTACAAAGTTACAACTTTATGTTTGTTTATAGCAAAAAATGATTGATAGAACAAAATCTTAATCTTTAAGTTTAATACATTAATATTGTCTGCTATGAAGCTTTTGAAACTGCTTGTGGTTTTAATGATCATGCATGGGGCCTCTTTCCAAATAGCTGGACTTATAATACCTGTTTGTGCAATAATGCTTCTTTGTATTAGACTGAGAGCATGTATGGCAAAATTTAAAAAGGTAAGTTCTACAATAAACAATTTTTCATTAATCAAAAGTGAAAGTTACTTATCTTGATAATATTTGCTAAAATTTTTGAAAAAGAAGTTACTTTTGCTTATTTTTAAGCACTTGTTGAAGGGGGAATAGCAAAATTAGGATTCATGAAGGGACACTGTAGCATTCGTCATGTTTGATTATTTGTTGATTTCCTTATGAACACATAGGCTAGGAGAGCCTTAAAGGCACTCAAGGCACTCGTAAAGCTTCAAGCTCTAGTTAGAGGTCGTATTGTCAGAAAGCAAAGTGCAGATATGCTCCATCGTATGCAGGCAATGGCACGAATCCAGGCTCGAGCCTGTAAACATAGAGCTTATGCTTCAGAGTCGCCTAATTTGGTCAACAAGTTCTCCAACCAGCATAAACCTGTAAGATAATTTTCTCAATTGGGTTAAGCCATGAATCTCCTTATCACAGTTAGAAGCATGCTCGTATCTGTATTGTAACTTTTAAGTTTTGAATAACTTTTACGTTCCTTTTTTTGCGAAGGGTGATACTACACGTACATAATGGGGTGTCCATAACGGTGTCCACCCCCTCACATGGAGGGGGACCCCTTTCGAATAAAATATAATATATCCAAAGTGGGTCCCTCTCCATGTGAGGGGGTGAACACCGTTATAGACACGACATTGTGTACAAGTAGCATATTCCTTTTACGAAACGTGTTTGAGCTTTTTCAGAATTTTTTTCCTGGGACTTTAGTTCGAAAACTTACTTTTTGTCAAAATGTAAGTCTTTTGAAAGACAGAAAAAAACTAAAGATGAGTTAAATGTAAATAGTGATGCATAATTCTATCAAGATGGCTCCTTGACACAGTCAATCACTTTTGTTTCCTTTTCTTATTCAAGTACATGTAAAATATAGTAATCAGTACAAAAGGGTGAATCTCGTTCCGAAAATTAATTTTCTCGTTAAATTTCTTTCTGTTAATTGTATGAATTTACCTGCAGATTGTTGCCAATCTCAGAAAATGTGAGCAGAGATCAAATTGTACCCAACATGATGGACTAAACCAAAAGGCAATCTCTTGAGCCCCTCGTAGCTCATTAATACAACATATTTATCTTGGTTGTGCTAATGTTACAGAAAATGTGTTATTAATGTATTTCCTTCTGGCTCCTGCATATGCAGAAATGTGGTACAAGATTGAATAGAGCCAACGGTATTAACACAGAAAACATGTGGGTGGGCTCCAATTGGTTAGATCACTGGATGGAAGAATATGCATGGAACAACCAGACGTATTCCTCCCTTGACACCAGACGCTGGGATGATGAGAAAAATGACAAGATACTCGAGATGGATACTTGTAAGCCTCACCGAACCCCAAAGCAAAGTGGCAGAGCGTTTCAGAATCCACAATATTTTCCCGTTTGGAACGAGAATGGACAGGAATCCGCAACATTTGACTCATTATCAAGACATTCAGAAAAATCCGTAAAACGAAATCCTTGCATATCGTATGGTGATGTCCCATCCTTAAGGTCGATAAAATTCCCTCCGGAAGTGGATCCAGTGTCTTCTAGACCTAATAGTAGTCGAAGAAGCCCTTTTAGTCCTACAAGGAGTGAGTGTTCTAAAAGCTTGTTTGGCGATTATCTGGGTCACCCGAATTACATGGCAAGTACGGAATCGTCTCTGGCTAAGCTTAGGTCACAAAGTGCCCCGAGGCAGAGAATGCAGTACGAGGAACTACGTATGGGTAAGAAGTTTGCTCGTGATCTTTGGAATATGGACACAAATTCAGAAAAGGGATCAACGTTGTTCTCTAACTATACGTGCAAAGGTTATCCATACTCCAGCCACTTAAATAAACTCGGGAAACCTATCCAAGATCCTGCTGTAAGTTTTAGTTCCACGTATGGCTACAGATATTAGTTATGCTCGTGAATCGGTGGTTTAAATTCTATTAAATATGAACATAATGTAGTCGAGTTCTTAGAAATAGACTGTTCTGGATGTTGTGTATGTTTATGTTTTCCATAAGTGTGAAAATCTCTACCATGTTCTTATTTCATGGATTTTGTAATTATTCAGTTTGTTTCAAACAAATGTGACTGTACCGTATTACCATATATATTTGCCATATTAAGCCTTGAATTAAAAGTCTTCTATATTCCTGTTAAGAGAGGATTTTCAAGCCAAGCCATATGATTAATTTTGAACGAATTAAGGATAGGATAGGATTCACTATTCGCAGTCAGTGTTGGGATCAATAGTGAAGCCAAGAGAAACTCCACAGAAACCAGTCACTGTAGCAATGGCGGTTGCATTTGGATTGTAAATTCCATCAAGCACCGGCAGACTCCACGGCGGGTAAGGCTGGTGTCAGCCATACTATTTAGGCTTGTGATGGCAATGCAGCACGGGGATCCCGGTACTGGGTCCGGCAAGCTGTTAGTAATGAAAAGCTGGAACAGGCAGAGAAGTGCAGTAATGGTGGTGCAATCCACCACGGCCATCCCCAGGGCCGTGGTAGATGCTACAAGTGCGGAAGATGAAACTAAAGTTATCACAACAATGCCTAATACTATGTTGTTAAGTCTTATTCTCCATAGCATGGTGGATTTTTTAAATTTATTTATTGGATTAATTGGGTTGTGTCCGTTTTTGCAATGATAGAGAATTTTATGTGAAATATGTTTGTTGAGTTTGGTGTACAATGCAGAGCTTGCGGTATTCTCATCAAGGTTGCATGATTATTAGGGATATTAAATGGATCAAATGGAGCCACTCGACACACTATGTCGCCAACGCGAGCCAACAAAGTAGGGCTCGATTCCCCTACAAGCTCTTCCCTTGTGAGGTGGGGCGAGCCAAGCCAGCTCGTGAGCCGCTTAAAGATGTTCTTAATATATTATTATCTCACACAATTACAATGCAACATGACTGGGATATATATACAGTAGAATAATGATGCTATATAAGGGAAATGAGCTATACAAAGAGGATGCATGATTCAGGGAATAGCTGTGCGTGCATCATGGAGTTTGTTTGGAGAAGATTTGTCTTGACTGCTGGAATTGTGGTGCCTGATTGAAGGAGTGATATTTGCACCATTACGCCCCCGCAAGATGGAATCCCCATCAAGGATTCCAATCTTGGATCTCAGCAGCTGAAATCGCGAGCGAGGAAGAGACTTTGTCAACAAGTCAGCTAGTTGATCATTGGTAGAGACGTGGGAAACCTCAAGAAGACCTTTGTTGACATAGTCCCGTACAAAGTGTAGATCAATAGCAATGTGTTTCATTCGAGAGTGATGCACGGGATTGACACTTAAATGGGTTGCACCAACATTATCACAAAGAAGTTTAGGAGGCTTTGCAATATCAATGCCCAGTTCTTGAAAAAGCGATGTGAGCCAAGCAATTTCAGAAGTGGTTGTTGCAAGAGCACGATATTCTGCCTCAGTGGAGGAACGTGCGACCGCGCGTTGCTTCCGTGTACACCAGGAGATAGGGTTGTTCCCAAAGAAAATAACAAATGCAGATGTGGAGGTGCGATCATCTACATTACCGGCCCAATCTGCATCAGAATAAGCAGTAAGTGCATTTCCAGCATCCTTGGAAAGTAGGAGACCATGGTGCACCGTGTGTTTGAGATACCGTAGGAGTCGCTTGACAGCATTCCAATGTTGCTCTGTTGGTCGATGCATGAATTGTGCTAAACGATTGACTGGAAAGGCAATATCTGGCCTTGTAAGTGAGAGATATTGAAGGCTTCCAATTACTCGACGGAACTCAGTACTATCGGTGGCTGGTGAGCCATCATCAAGGCGGAGAGGAGCAGTAGTAGCCATCGGGGTACATACTGGTTTTGCACCTTCTAAATTTGTTCTGTGAAGGAGATCTCGCACATATTTTTGTTGGCTTAAGAACAATCCATTACTGACAGGTAACACCTCAACGCCCAAGAAATAGTGTAACCGGCCCAAATCTTTAATCGAAAATTTGGAACCTAAGGATTGAATTATGAACTCATTGAAGCCTGTGGAATTGCCTGTCAATATAAGATCATCAACATAAACAAGAAAATAAGCCACAATATCATCATGAGTATAAATGAACAAGGAGGAATCCGATTTGGATTGATGGAATCCCAATTCTTGAAGATAGCCACTGAGGGTGGTGTACCAAGCCCTTGGGGCCTGTTTTAGCCCATAGAGAGACTGGCGGAGTTTACAGACATAATCGGGCTTGTCAGAGTCAACGAAGCCAGTGGGTTGGACCATATAGACATCCTCATCAAGTGTGCCATGGAGAAATGCATTATTAACATCCAATTGGCGAAGTGCCCAACCATGAGAAAGGGCAATGGTGAGAACAATCCGAATAGTAGCAGGTTTGACAACGGGTGAGAAAGTTTCCTTGTAGTCAAGGCCGGGTCTTTGATGAAAACCTTTAGCTACCAATCGGGCTTTATAACGATCAATGGATCCATCAGGATGTCGTTTCACTCGAAATACCCATTTGCATCCAATAGGTTTGATGTCTGGGGAATTGGGAACAAGATTCCAAGTTCCATGTCGAACAAGAGCATTGAACTCATCACTCATAGCTTGACGCCAGTGGTGATCCTTCAGAGCCTGTCCCACACATGTAGGTTCAACAGACTATGGCATAGGATGTTTGGTGGCAGTGAACATCCGTTTCGGCTTTTGGATATTATTCAAGCCTCTTGTGATCATCGGATGAGTCCGAAGAGGAGGTGGACCAGAGGAGGCAATAGGCTCTGGTGAAGCAACTGTAATAGTAGGTGTCATGTCAGATAGATCAGCAGGTGATGGACCAGTAGGTGGACGGGACAGCACGGGGTCTGCTCGTGGAAAGTGAGAACCAGGCGGGCTATGTGTGTCAGATTGAGTCGTGGCTGGCGGGGCTAGCACATTTTGGACCTGGTTAGAAGATGTCGGTAGCATGGTGGGCTGTTGGTCAAGGTGAAAAGTGGACTCGGCCATGGGTTGGATAGATGGAGTAAGAGATGTGTATGGGAAAACTAATTCATCAAATGTGACATGACGTGTAATATAGATACGATTAGATGTGAGATCAAGGCATTTGTAGGCACTTTGAGAAGTAGAATATCCGATGAAGATACATGGTTTGGATTTTGGGTCAAGTTTATGATTGTTATATGGTTTAAGCCAAGGAAAACATAAACAACCAAAGGTTCGTAGTTTTAGGTAATTGGGTAAGGCACCAAAGAGGCGAGTGAAAGGTGGTTTGTGACCTTGTGTGGTGGGGAGGCGGTTGATAAGATAAACCGCAGTTTGAAATGCAACGGCCCAATATTTGGTGGGCATGTGGGCTTGGGTGAGTAGGGTTTTACCGGTCTCAACAATGTGGCGATGTCGTCGTTCAGAAAGGCCATTATGTTGTGGGGTGTGGGGGGCTGTTGTAAAGTGACCTATTCCATGGGTTTGGAGATAGGGTTTAAGTCCTGTATATTCACCACCATTGTCACTGTACAAATTTTTAACGGGTAGACCGAATTGCTTTTCAAGGAGGACACGTAGTTGGGGAAAGATTTTACCAACTTCTGATTTTTGATGAATGGGGAAAAGCCAACAATAACGTGTGAAATGATCAATGATAATGCCTAATACTATGTTGTTAAGTCTTATTCTCCATAGCATGGTGGATTTTTTAAATTTATTTATTGGATTAATTGGGTTGTGTCCGTTTTTGCAATGATAGAGAATTTTATGTGAAATATGTTTGTTGAGTTTGGTGTACAATGCAGAGCTTGCGGTATTCTCATCAAGGTTGCATGATTATTTGGGGTATTAAATGGGTCGAGTAGAGCCACTCGACACACTATGTCGCCAACGCGAGCCAACAAAGTTGGGCTCGATTCCCCTACAAGCTCTTCCCTTGTGAGGTGGGGCGAGCCAAGCCAGCTCGTGAGCCGCTCACGGCTCGCTACATTTTTCATTTAAACTTTTTTGTCAAAGATGTTGCACTTTAACAATCGAGTCGATGAGTAGCTCGCCACAGTTCCCACTGTAGTGAAGATATATATTTTATTTAGGTTAAAATAGTATTTGTTCACTTCATAGTTTTCTTAATTATAAAGTAGATAAGGAATTGCTTTTTTAGCTCGGAGAGAGTTTTTCTTTTGTTTTGAAGAAATGGTAACAACTGAATAATTTGTTTTTCAAAAATAACTTTTTATCTAAAGGAAAGAAGAACAATGACTTGAAAAAGGAAAAGAAAAATATTCCAAAATCTCAACTTTATGCGATGCTAACTCTATTATACTACTTTGGTATTATGATAAGATAAAATATTTAAATTCCTACATTTATATGTAAGGATATTAAAAAAATTCGAAGAACATAAAAAATATATTTTATTTCATATATTGCAAATGAACCTGATTAATTTTTAACATATTTTTAAGAAACGAGAAAAATGAGTAAAAAGGAATATAGTTTATATAAGTTTTGATAATAACGTTAAAGTAACAAAATAAGACTACCGTTTAGCTCAAGTGGTAAGAATAAAGTCTCATCAGACAAATCATCTGAATTCAAGCCTCTTTTTAGGAATTGTGAAATCTATTGAATCTTTTTAATAAATAAAAAAGGTGTAGAACGATAAAATAAAAATCATTTGACAAAGGTGACGAAAAACTATTAGCATTGGTGCTTGGCTCGGAGTACCCCTTAGAAAATGTAATTTGTTTTTTAGTTTTAGTGAAGGGAAAAAACATTGTGTTGTAATGCTTGAAAAAACTATATGGAAATGAGACGAGCAAAGTAAGCACGTCAGGTGTCGTGGTGTAGTTGGTTATCACGTCAGTCTAACACACTGAAGGTCTCCGGTTCGAGTCCGGGCGACGCCATAGTCAATTTTATAAGCTGTTTTGAGAAATTATTAGCTTTTTTGCCATTTTTTGTTGAAACAAAAATCAAGGCCCAGCTGAAAGGAAAAAAAAGTAAAATAAAAAAAGTCAATGCATTAAGCGACAAGAAGGCCCCAGTTGAAATAATTAAGGCTCAAAGATATGTAAATGTCAAGATATATGCCTTTAGGTGGGATAAAGTTTGAACATAAAATTGTAATTAGACCAAGTTCCACTCTTATTTGATTTTGATATTTTCAAAATCACTTTTCTCAAAATTCATTTTTATCAGTATTCTCTTAATAAAATAATATACTCGTGAATTCATAATTTTTCTTACTTTTTAACCACTTCGTAATTTTATTTTATTTTACTTTTTAACTACACGTTAAAAAGAATGGTTTTAAAATATTAAAATTCAAACAAAGAAGGGTGAGTTTCAACATTTCCTGTCCCATCTAATCAAATAACAATTCAATTTTCAAAACACTGGTTAAAAGATTTGACAATTGGCCCTACAACTGGATTTATTTTACTTTATTTTTATAATAAAGCTAATTGTACGAACATGATTGACAATTATATACTGTCAAAATTCGAGCATTTGATGTAAAAAATAGTTTTTTAAATGGATGAATGTGATGCTGTCCAATAGGATGTTGTCAATTAAAATTATACACATAACATGATTCTTATTTTTAAATACAATCCACCTATAAATGAGTATTTATCCATAATGAAATAAAAATGAGACTGCAATTAAAACTTATGAAGATATTAGGTGCAAGTAACGTGCAATGCACGTTTGCCTAGTTTATATTTAAGAGCTTGTTTGGTAGGACTTTTTTGGGGGAAGAATTGATTTTGAATAGTGCTATGATGGGAAATGTGTGGTTGAAAAAGAAGATAAGATTATTGATGTGATGAAAAATATTATTTTATTGAAAAATGTGTGGTTGAAAATGAGAATTGATTTACTGTAGAATTGGAGAATTCGTACCAAACGGGGCGTTAATAGTTTTGTTTAAGAATTAATTTGTTATTAATAAACATGTAATTTTTTTGGTTAATTAAATAATTAATGATGTAATGTTTATGTAATTGATAAATAATTAGATGTGTGATTTTGATATTGTGATGAAAGTTGGTGAGATCGAAGAAAATAAGCAAAAGTTGATAAATTTGGAGAAAAGGGCTAAATTATAAGAGATCCAAAGTTCGGGGACTAAAATGTAAATATTTAAAAGTTGTGCCGAACCTCACGATGAAGATTTGAGAGTGCTCGGAGTCAATTGGATAAAGGAAGACGTCAATGGAATCAAATTTAATCAAAAGATGATCACAAATCAATTTCCAACCGAAAAGTTATGTTCCAATGTTTTAGTCTCATATTGAGACCTATTTTTGGTATAGAAAGTGATTGAATTGGAGAATGATGTCTGAATCAAAGTTGTAGCCAGATGAGTTAGCTTTCCAACGCATTTTGAATCGCCTCAATCGGACATTGGAATACAAAGTTATGGTAAAAACACTGAACGAAGGTGCAGCTGCCTGTTTAAAACAAGAAATTTCGTTACATAATCCGTTAAAACAACAAATTCCGTTAGTTTTTCCGTTAAAAACAAGAAATTTCATTACACGGTCACTTTTAATATATAGAAGATACAAACACCTCCAATGCAACTAGATTGGAATTAAAAATAAGTTTTCACTTTTATTAAATAAATTTGATTTATACATGGAACTCGTTAGACGTGAAATTTATATTTGATCGTGAACTGAAAGTCTTTTTATTTATCTGTAACGTAGATTTTAATCCATAGAACATGTAAAATTCTCTTAACTAACTCCGAGTTGAAAAAAAATAAAATAAAAAATCCTCACTCCAAATTCCGTATACTTTTTCGTGTGAAATTCTTTTAGCTCGTAATTACTGTGATGGTCACTGTACAAATTTTTTTATGAACAGTCTGAAAGCATGTTTTGTAGGAAAAGGGCAGAGACAGCTACCACTTATTTTGTTTTACTGTCTCATGATACTTTCTTTACTCCAAAGCACAGCTTGCCTTCATTCACTGATTCAATCAGTTCGCTGTTGGACCATAAGAACCTAATTCTTTACGTAGAATGTAGGAACAAATAATGTAGTATGTCTGGCTCCGTATGTGAAAGAATACCTTTTGATAATTAGATACTTTTGAATTTTGATACATTAAATTAAATAGCATAATGCAATGTTTTAACTATGTTATCTAACGACTATAAATAACATTCCTCTTTAAAAAGCTTGTCTTTGACGTAAAATTTATGCATTTTAGATTATTGATAATTGAGTAAAATTGAATCAACATTTTCCAAAACACGACAAAGAAAAATGAAAGTAATAAATTTAGTTTAACACAAAGAATGCATTTTTTTTCTAGAATAATGGTTACCAAACGGTGCCTTAGAGGACATTTTTTCCTAACATGGACCCATGGCCCTTAAAATCAGGAACGCAAAACTCCATCGGTGTAACTCTCCTTTTTTTCATGAAAATCTAGCACTGGATATAGTCAAGGAATTTCCTCTTTCTAATTTCTCATTGTTAGTCATCCTTTTTCCATCTTCTTCTGCTTTTTAATAATTTGTTTAACGACGGTTGACCTAATTTCTCATTGTTTTAATCTTATTATAATTCTGATAATCCTATGTAAGATATACATTTACACAATCTATATAAAGATTTAGAGATAGAAACAAAAGCTAGGCATTTCTAGAGGAGAAAAATTTCAAGAATCAAGAATGGGGAATTCATTTGGTTGCTCAGCTTCAGGGGAGAGGTTGGTATCAGCAGCTAGAGATGGAGATTTTGTAGAAGCAAGGATGCTGTTGGATTTCAATCCATGCCTTGCAAAATACTCTACTTTTGGTGGATTAAACTCTCCCCTTCACTTTGCTGCGGCTAAAGGCCACAATGAGGTTTAATCATTTTTAAAAATAAAAAAATAAAAATTGTTCATTTCTTGACAAGCCCATCAATAAATTTTGCTTTGTTCTTGTATAGTTGTGTGTATGTGTGTGAGTAATTATATTTTTGGATGTGGGTTTTTTATTTTCGGAAGTTCGGGTTTTCAGATTGTGGGGCTGTTGCTGGAAAATGGAGCTGATGTGAATTCAAGAAATTACTGTGGGCAGGTACAAGATTGTAACTTTTTTTATCAGGAATTTTTATTTTTATTTTAGTTTGGGGAATTATGTTGAATTGTGTTGTGGGTCATGAATTGGGGTTCTTACATATAAATATGATGAGTGTGTGAAAGTTGGTATGCCTATGTCTGATTTGCTGTTCAACATTTTATGGAGATCAGGTCCGAGTGTTATTTTGATCCTGTTATTAGATTAATTGTGATAAAGTATAGCTGGAAATTTTTCTTGGACATCAGACCAATTGATGGATCTCATCTATTTGACTTAGAAAACTTTTTGATATTTTAACATTTTTATGCAGACAGCATTGATGCAAGCATGCCGATATGGCCACTGGGAAGTTGTTCAAACACTACTTCTCTTTAGATGCAATGTGAGTTGTTCCTCTAAACAAAAATGTCTTTTCGTTTCTGTTTATTTCTTTGATTTAGCTTAATCTAGCGAATATTGAATACTTAATAGTTGTTCTTTACAGTGATCCCTGAAGTAATGGGCTATAAGCTCGGATGTCAATTTCAAAAGTCTTCTTGCTGACCCAATTGAGTATTTATTGTTTGATCTTTTAATTACGTTCAGGTTACAAGAGCAGATTATCTTAGTGGAAGGACCGCTCTCCATTTTGCGGCGGTTAATGGACACGTGAGGTGTTTAAGATTAGCAGTCGCTGATTTTGTTCCTAGCGCTCCATTTGAATCTGTAAATGCTCGAACAAATGGTGACGTTTCAAATACTAAAAGCAAGCATGAACAGAGGTTTGTGTTTTCTTGTGCTCACTTGGTCTTCTTGCTTGCAAGTTAAATTTATGCTAAGTGAACATAGAGATGGAAATCAGAAATGAGAATGAATGAGTTGTGTTACTTAGCTGTTCCTATTACTTTCAAGTTTCAACTGTTTTCACCTTGGTTGAGATTTAGTTTGAAGCAGTTTTGATCATGTTTGGAAGATCTCAAGATTAAAAAAAATATATATGGAAAAGATGAATGCCATCTGGAAAGATTTTGATGACTTTCTTGAATTAAGATCTGTATTCTGGCTCTATCATGATTTCTTTAACAGTGATAATAGAACTCATTTAATAAAACAAAATTGATATGCATCCCATTTTTATAACATTATTGACTTTTCGAAGTTTTGTTGGGCAGCGTAAAAGCTGAAACTTTTGTTTGATGATCTCTTAAAAAGCAAGCTGCTATACCTATGCTTTCCTCATTCGTTATTGTAAATATAGTAAATGTTATGGATTAATCCTTAATCCCTAACTCTGAGAGCATTAATAATGGATAAGAAATAAAAACCAAGAGAGCACATACAGATTTATGATACTACCTACACTCACTGCTGCAGAAATTTTACAATGAGAGATCTCACACATCTCCATTTTTCTCACTTTATCGAAAAAATACCTTTCCACCCTCTGTTTATAAGCTCCACATATTCGAAGTGTATAGAGTCCTGTAACTGAAATCTAGTAGAAACTTCAATCCTTAACCCAATCATAATATGTTTTCGTTGTCCTGTTGCAGTGCTCTCTCCAAGTTTGTAAATAAGGCTGCCGACGGAGGTATTACTGCTCTTCATATGGCTGCATTGAATGGATATTATGACTGTGTACAGCTCCTACTCGATCTTCACGCAGATGTGTCAACAGTGACATTCCATTATGGAACATCGATGGATTTGATAGGTATGATGTAGTTTCCTTGGTCTTCACTCTTCATAATGTTGGAAACAACTTCAAGTTTGTAACTTGAACATGTTCTGCGATCATATTTTGTTAGGAGCCGGAAGCACTCCTTTGCACTATGCTGCTTGTGGGGGAAATTTGAAGTGTTGCCAGGTCACAACTAGTCCTTTATCATTAACACATAATAATACATTTCTCCAACAAATAATTTCCTTGTCTAAGATTCTTGATATTCACAATTGACATATGTTTTTATTATTGTTTTTCTACTTCTGCAGATTCTTCTTGCAAGAGGCGCCAGTCGTTTGGCCTTAAACTGCAATGGGTAATGCACGGAAGACACACATGCATAGTAGATTTTTTTTTTCAGCTCTAAACTATTTATTGTTTGACTATAATTATTACACCTTTTACTACAACATTTCCTGAACTTGTGCATATTTCAGATGGCTTCCTCTTGATATTGCAAGGATGTGTGGCCGTCATTGGCTTGAGCCACTGCTTTCACCTAATTCTGACTTGACAATCCCGATGTTTCCACCTTCCAATTATTTGTCGTTGCCACTCATTAGCGTGCTTAATATAGCAAGGTAAATTCCTGATGGAATGCCAGAAAATTAAATATACCCGATCAAACTGGTAGCTGTTTTGCTCGCTAAACTTGCTGCTGTAGAGCATCAGACATCTTTAACATTTAAATTTTTTGAGTAAATATTATATTTATGTGATTATTATAATCATTTTTCCTTGTGCATATTATGTGAGTTTTATGATGAGAATGTCGGTGATTATATTTTCCTTCTTGGGTTTCTTTCTGCAGAGAGTATGGGTTGCACTCCTCAGCAACCACTTCTGATGAAGCTGAGATTTGTGCTGTTTGCCTGGAGAGAGCATGCACAGTAGCTGCTGAAGGTCTGCTGTTTCTCTCCCTACCAATACAATTTCTGTTTCATATTTTTTGTAAAAGATTTTGGCGTGCGTACTTTCTCTGTGATGGTATGTATATCAGCATACTAAGAAGGCATGAAATCAAGATATGCTCTTATTTTATTGGGACTTCTGTTTTTATTTATTTATGTATACATATATTTTTTTGTGGTGGTAGTTTTTGATGATGTCATTTTATGACATTCTAGTGAGGGTTGAACCAAGATAGGCTCTTATGCTTTTGTTATCATTTTTTGTTGATGGTGGTGGTGTTCTTCCTTAGACTTTGAAACCTACCATTCCTTACTGGAGCTGAGAACAACCAATTTTTTTGTCCTTTTTTTCCCAGATTTGATTTCTTCTGGTGAGAGTTGTTTTGATGTTCTGTTGCTCTTAACATGAAGTCTTCCTCCTTCAACTGGATAATTTTATAAAGAATTTCTTCAAGATTTTTTTTTTTTTTTTTTGAAAAGAGTTGGAAAACATACATACAGTATTGAGACTGAGGCCAACCTCATTTTCAGCTTTAATTGGGTCTCAACTTCAGATTTTTACTTCTTCTGGCTTCTGCCCTCACCAGGCAACATACATCATTTTGTGTTTTATATTTTATTTATTTATATTTGTGTATTCATATACCCGGTCTCCATGCCCCTGAATTGGGTTATGTGGCCCTATGTACGTTTGTGTTTAGCCCACCTGCTTTTATGCAAGACCATTGCTGGAACCTTCTAGACATATTGAAAGGAAAACCAGTGGAGATTTAATATTCTATTCTGGTACAAGACTGAAAGTGACGTGAAAGTGGATGTATAAATTTGCGTATGCATAATCGTGTAATTAGAGGAGAAAATGTTATTTGTTAGTGACTCTACCTCTTATAAAACTTTCTATACTTCTGTTTATTCATCTTCCACGCCCTGGAGTAGATGTAGTTGCTCTGCAGGTGTGTGTATGTTTGTTCAACTCAGTCCACCTATTATGCAAGACCAATGCCCGGCCTTATAGTCATATTGGAAGGAAAACCAATGGAGACTAATCTTCTTCGGTATAAGATTGAGAGAGGCGCGAATGTGGACACACATATATACATATTCATATGTAGACAGAGAATGTTTTGTTTATATTTGTGTGTTGACACTTGACAGGGAAGAAATCTTGATTCTCTGCATTATTTACTCAAATTTATGATGATGTAATTTTGTAGGGTGCGGCCACGAACTCTGTATAAGATGTGCACTCTACATTTGTTCGACAAGTAATATCCCTTCTGAATCGTTAGTTCCACCTGGTTCGATTCCTTGTCCTTTTTGCCGACATGGAATTGTCGCATTTGTGAAATTGCCTGGTTCTTCAAGAAAGGAAAATAACATACCTCTATCGCTTAGCCTGTGCACGCCATGTATGCTTCACCATCGAGAACAAGACAGATCCGAGTCCGTAGGTTCACCTGACGTAAGGAAGACTCGCTCAGATTCTGTTTCTTCAGATATTTTCTGCCCAGTGACTTGTAGCCCGTTTCCTTCTGTAACAATCCCATTATGCACCTGCAACGATGGACCTTGTCCAAATTCTGATTCCAGAGGAAGTGAAACTCAAGAAGCATCCCCTCGTCGTTCACAGTCCACATCAAATGAACAGGAAAAAATTGATGGAATGAGACTGGAGAAAACGACGTGTACGAGTATGTTTTGGGGTAGAAGAAGCTGCAGCAGGGAGCATCGGTGTAATGCTGAAATAAACGCTCGAATGGCTTAGGAAAATATCATATTCCTATATTTTTATACATTAGATTATGAACTCGACCGAGTATTCAATGGTTTCAAGTTTCAGGCATCTGATTATAGAAGCTGGAATATTTCACTTCTGTTTGCTGCTGCTGCTGCTTTTTCCTCCAGTGAAAATCAGGTTTGGGATTATTACATGCTTTACATTTTTTTAAGGTTGCTTAAGCCTTAAGGTATTGAGCTTGTAAAAAAATTGTAGACTAGGAAAATCACAGAGTATACTGAAATTGCACAAGTTCTCTGGCATTTTGTCTCGACTATTCTTGGTTTATGAAATATTCACGTGTATAAATTCCGCTTTAGCTTCCCTGATTTGCGTGGAGAAAATCTTGTTAGAAGTCATCAATTTGGCATATTACTTGATAGTACTGAATTGTGATAAAAGAAAAAGGAAACTAAATTTATAATTTTGTCCGGTTCTTAGTGCCAAAAGAGTTCTAATTAAAACTGTTAAGTCTAATATGTAATCGGCAATTTCCTAAGTCAAAATTATGTGTAATTGATTTGTATTAGGAATTTAACGAATTGTAATCAAAGTCGGTTTAGTAAAGTCCAAGT